CACAATATCTGCCCAGCACTGCCTTCATAACAAATGATAGAGACTCAGACAGCCTGTAAACGGTGGGCTGCTATCAGTCTGACCTCAGGTGTTGTCTGACGAGTGGACGGACATTAAGGACAAAATGCACGAAGCCGTTAATCAGTTGGCTGTAAGATTAACCAGCACAGCTGTGTCCTGCTGTTGACAGTCAACTGCCTGGAGTTCATTTTCATCTACATTTACTCTATAAAAGTGCGCTTATTGCTACTGGCATGTTCCAAGACCCTTACACCGTATTTTTGAGCAATGACATTCATAAAAAAACATGATGTTTTCATGTCAAAATTCGCTGAGAGTATGGCTTATGAGTGTAGTTTTATATGGGTCTTATATGGGACAATATGGAAAAGTAAAAATATGCTCCACATAACTGCAGTTTAGTGAGTTTAGTGTGGTCAGGTGTGCTAATGTGTTAGCTTAATGGTATACTATTTTAAAGTTTGTTTAAATGTTAGTGTAGCGGAAGTTCACTGGTTCACTCAGATTAAATCAGCTCTGGTACAGCATATAGCTAAAAAAATGTGTCCGTTTCTGTGAAACTAACAGTCATATTTTAATTTAACCTAATGTATTTGCTCTTCAATCAAATGCAACAAATCCAGAGATTATTTTAGGTAACTAAGTAGTCTCAGTTGAGCGTTTAAAATAGATCACTATAAAACAGAAGTATGATAAGAGATAAGATTAAAATACTACCACACAGAACCACATCTGTTTCTTTTTACACTGCAACATTTTTTCTCACCTAATCAGGACCAAATGTAGAGGCTCCGATTAAAGATATAAATTTCAGATTAATACATCATGAAAATAATCATTCGTTCAACCGTCACAGCTGTTTTTCTGGTGTTAGTGTTTTCAACAGTTCTTTGCACAAATGCTAACAACATGCTAATGCAGTCATTAGACAGAAGTAGACGTTCATCAGCCTTTATTTAAAATTGATGAAAGACGACTGTTGTGTTACAAATTATATTATAATAATTCAATGACAGCTGTCGAGAAACCTGCACTCAAATTATAACATAATAAAATAAACATAATCCAAGGGCAGTTTGTTTTAACTTGATCTGCTGTCTTTCTCTTAAAATGGTGCAGAAGGAAAGAAACATGTTGTTTATTGTCCATGTAGACCAAAAGTATGTTGTATTTTACAGCCTTTATAATCCGACCCTCAGTCTTTAAAGCATTTAAACAATTTGGGTTTAATGTTTTCCCAAACCTGTTATTTGTCGTCTGCTCTTTATTTTGCTGTAAGTTGGTTTTTTATGTTCCCTACTGCTACAAAGCTCAACAGCATAAAGACAACACGACTGTTTTTCATGTTGCTACGCGTATAAACAAACCCTTTGCTGTTCTTTCATAGCCATGATTTGCATTTGAATGATTTGTTCAAACTGCAAAATGGACCTGAATTTGAAACCTCAGCAGTAATGAAAAGAAAATATCTGTGTGGTTTTTCTTCCTAGAGGAATGTGAATCTGAATTCCATCATATTCCTTCCTCTGCATTCACTTAAACCACTGCACTCTCACAGTGTTCACACCTGCTTTACATAAATCAAATATAAGATACATGTTTGCAACTTTTGATTCTCACGTAAACGTTTTGTGGACTCTTGAGTTCTGGCAGTGTTGCTGTGGCAGATCCTGGTTAGATGAAGTTCTCATCTCACATGGAAGCACAGCTTAAGAAGAGCTACACGAGTTGCACGACCCCAAGATTCAAGCCAGCTGATCTAAAACGGGGGGTGGGGGCTACAGACAGACCGTCTGCTCCTGTGTGTCTATATAAACTGCTCCTCACAACACACTCACACAGTCCTCAGGAATGCATGTTCACTCAACACCATGCACTCGGACTGTCAGAGCTCCCTTTACCGAAGTGAAAGAGAACACAGGCTTTAAAATAAGCCTCCATGAATAACCACGTCGTCTGGTTTAAAAAAGTTAATGAAAAACTTTTTTTTTCTAAAAAGGAGGGTTTTTATCATAATAATTTGAATAACTTCATATCAATTATGTTTTAGTCGCAGCCATAGCTATGTTCGTCTAATGTGGCGCGAAGCATTTCTTGTTAGCTGTATCTTTTGGTGAGTCAGTAATAGCCATGTAGACTGTATAATGATACTCACTGAGGCAATGAGAGTCATTGACAAAAATTACAGGGACAAAGTTTACGACCTTAGCTCTTGATTATGTTAATTAGTTCAACCAACCAACTAATTCTGAGTATCTTATAGCTAAAACCCTGACCATGTGGTCAGTTCCTCTGCCTGCATTTACGTAAACTCTGAGTTGAAACAAATCTCACGTTCATGAGTATGCATCCTAACATAGATTAGTGTATTTGCTTCTTTTGCTGCTAACTACTATTGACTTCAAATCTTGAAGTGCACATTCAGAACTGTTTTGCCCTGAAGTACCTTCTTCTCTCACATCAGCCATTTGGTAGAAGAAAAAGTCCTTCATCCCCCATATCATTAGTAAATGATGAGCCTTGCATTAGCACAGGGACAGGATGCATCAATATGTCAGACCAGAAGGCCTGCGTCCAGACCAGGGATCAATATACACAACATAAGAGGGCTCCACTCCAGGGAGTTTGTGCTATTTACAGCAAAAAGGATTGTGGGAAAATGGAGCCTCATCTTTGAGCCGGGGGCAACCTAATGTAACTGTGTTTGTCTGTGTGTCTGATTCTCAGTTGTATGGCTGAGTCCCTGTCCCTGGATTATTTATTACATAGTCATATAACAAATCCATTTACAGAAAGGATCCCTCATCTGACTCGTGCCTCTTGCCGCTTTTGCACAGGAAATTATAATTTAAAGCGTTAAGTGTTCCAACGATGTCGACTGCTACTGTTCAAGACAAAGATACAAATCTACATAGCAACACTGGAAAATAACCTTCTCTGATCTGTTCTGTTTTTTGTTTTTCCAGATGGACGTGAAGCTGCTCTTGGTATCCACGTTGCTAGGAGTCATCTGTTTTAGCATCGCTCAGAAAGGTACGATTTCTCATTCAGGATGATGTCATCTTGAGTACAGTAAAAACAGCCTAAACCTCTTATTTAGCTTAATGGTGCCCCCGTGTGCAGAGCCGGTGAAGCTCAACCTCAGCACCACGTAGAGTAAAACAGACAACAGCAAATGTAGAATATTGTGTCTCTGTCTCCTATTACAGTGTTGAACACACAGCTAACATTGCCAGGAGAGACTTCCACCCTTTACTGCTTACTCTGCCGTCTCTGACTCTTTACGATTGGTCCATTCTCTCTCTTTTTCTTTCCCATCCAGAGGGGAACGAGTGCATCAATGCCAACGCCAAATTCTGCGGGGAATGTATCCAGGCTGGAGCCAAATGTGGCTGGTGTAAAGACCCAGTATGTGAATAGAAGCTGTCAGCTGTGTTTACTGCAGTTTGAGCATGCCAATAAGCGAACAGCACTTGAAAGTATTTAGTATCGAATACCAGTATTGATTGTTCTTTTTAAGGTTTAATATTAAGTGAGCTTCAACATGATCAGAAAAAGGCAAGGATATTATTTATTTATTCACAACACACTTTTAAAAAAAGTAAAAATTAATGGAACCCTTTTAAGCTTTTGTGAGGCTCCATGTCTTTCTATGGAACATGGACTAGCTTTTACTTTGCTAAAATGTTTCTTAAGGATGCATCTACTGCTACCATGTGACAAGTCAGATGAAAACTTACAAACTTTTTGTACCTTTGTTTTTACCTGAAAAAACAGACCTATTTAAACCGTCAGTTTTTCTTGCGCTGCTTCTCTTAGGATTTCCTCAAACAAGGTGAGACGGTGTCGACCCGTTGCGACGAGCTGCAGTCTCTGTTGAAAAGGGGCTGCGATGAGGCCATGATTGAGAACCCGCATGGGATTAAGAAGATCCTCAAGAACAAAGCAGTGACAAATCGCAGAAACAGAGCAGAGAAACTGAAGCCAGAAGACATCACTCAGATTCAGCCCCAGAAACTCAATCTGACCCTGCGATCTGGTGGGGATACATCTCTCTTAGCCCCCCCAACCCCATTACCCTTCTAAGAATCATGTGTTTTTCATAGTCATATTTTCCCATACGCAGTTCTAGACCTTATAAATTATTGTACTTTTATTACACTTTTGTCAGGTCAGCCCCAGACGTTTGACTTGAAGTTCAAGAGAGCCGAGGATTATCCCATCGATCTGTACTACCTGATGGACCTGTCCTACTCCATGAAGGATGATCTGGAGAACGTCAAGAACCTGGGAACCAGTTTGATGCTGGAGATGTCAAAGATCACCTCAGACTTCAGGATAGGTCAGGACAGAGTTTTAACTGACACTTCTATCTCGGTTGTCTCGTTGATGGAAAATGCCACCTGGGTTTGAATGACCCTGGTTTGACCCCAGCAAACAAACTGAAGAAACAAATATTTGACAGTTCAGTGATTCAGAGAGGGTTATCTGGAGCAATCATCCTGACAGCTCTGATGTGTGTGTGTGTTTGCATGTTGTGTTGTTGGGGTTTGTTTCCAACCTGTGCGTTAAGGAAAAAAAGTATGTGTAATGTCCTATATGTGACTTATATATGCTTTGTCATCATCTGATATCCTTTGCTGAGTCAGAAATGATGTCATTATGACATCACCGTGGACACTGTCACTGACCTCATTTTGGTAGCTTTTGTATCTGGTTTTTATTTCACACCATTGTAGCACTTATGTAATAGATGACCTTGTGTGATGGTAATGGGTGAGAAACGTTTTGAATGATTCAAATGAAATTCTATTTCATTTTTTTAAAGGTTTTGGATCTTTCGTGGAGAAAACGGTCATGCCGTATATCAGCACGACGCCCGCCAAGATGCGTAACCCATGTACAGGCGACCAGACCTGTACTAGCCCCTTTAGCTACAAGAATGTTCTGACCCTGACCAGCGATGGCAAGAAGTTTAACACCTTGGTGGGTCAGCAGCACATCTCTGGAAACCTGGACTCTCCTGAGGGCGGCTTTGATGCCATCATGCAAGTGGCTGTGTGTGGGGTAAGCAGAATCAGTATTATTGTCACCCAGTGATCTGGAGGGAGATGATTAGACTCAGGTTAATGATTCAGAGAAGATTTAAAAAATGTTTATGTGATGGTGTCGAAGTTGTAATGTAATCCCTTATAGACATCATAACAATAGCAGTTTACTTTAATCCAGAGAGGTAATACAAATATAGGAGTAAAATAATTTTTTTCTCATTTACAGGATCTCATTGGTTGGAGAAAAGAGTCGTCTCGTCTGCTTGTCTTCTCCACTGATGCTGGATTTCATTTCGCTGGAGACGGCAAGCTGGGTGGCATCGTGCTGCCGAACGATGGAAAATGTCACCTGGAGAATGGTGTTTATACAATGAGTCACTATTACGTAAGGCGCCCGGTGTTTCGACCAATGTTTCCATAATGTGAGTTTACGACCACGGCACGTTAAATATGAACTCCTGCTCTCCATCTGTTTATTTAAAGGACTATCCCTCCATCGCTCACCTGGTTCAGAAGCTGAGTGACAACAACATTCAAACAATCTTCGCAGTCACAGAGGAGTTCCAGCCTGTTTATCAAGTGAGTCTCATTTTCATCTAAAAGATATATATTCTATAATATTATTGTCATTTTTTCTAAACTTAAGTCTATGTTATTAGTATGTTATTTTAGGCATTAAAGATTATATGTTTTAAAGAGTTTATTTCTAAACTTGTCTCCTCAGGAACTGAAAAATCTAATTCCCAAGTCTGCAGTGGGAACCCTGTCTGCCAACTCCAGCAACGTGATCAACCTTATCATCGATGCTTACAATGTAAGAACAAAAATGCTTTGAAAAGCCACTGTGTGGAAACAGTTTTTTTTTTACTTGGCTAAACCTTTCTGTCTTCCCGTCTGTAAACAAAACTACCGGATGACATTCCAGCCAAACAAAGCGTAAATATTCACATTGGTGTCATTTGGTTTTGGCAGTCTCTGTCATCTGAGGTTATTCTGGAAAACAGCAAACTCCCAGAGGGAGTGACCTTAGCTTACACGTCTCGCTGTAAGAATGGATTGGTTAGCGAAGGAGAGAATGGCCGCAAGTGCTCAGACATCTCCATCGGAGACGAGGTAAGTTTTGGAAATGTTAGTAAATAAACTCCAGTAGTTGGGAAAGGAGTAAATGCTCTGTTTTCAAATAGTTCCTTTGTAGCGATGATGACCACACAACTCACACCTACTGTAGTCACTTTTGCAGTAGCTCATCTACTTTCATGTTAAGATCCAAGTCTTTAGAACAGGGACATACTGCAGGGACTCTCATAGTCTAGATTTGAACTTTGACCTTCTGGACGGGAGATGATATTTCTACTGATACTGACGCGTATACGTACTGACGCATCACTTCTACACAAAACTGGAATAAAACACACTCCTGAACAATTAGGTATTTTTCACTGTTTTAGTTTTTATATGTGGTCAAGTGCTGTCTGTACTTGGTGGCTCAAGCACCTGTTGTGTCTAAACACACGGATGATATTGTATATCCACAGGTCACATTCAGCATCAGTGTGACTTCTAAGGGCTGTCCAAAAGATGGCAAGCCCGAAACCATTAAGATAAAGCCTCTGGGCTTCACAGAAGAAGTGGAGATTACGCTGCACTTCATCTGTCAATGTGAATGCCACAAGGGAGGAATTAAGAACAGTCCACTCTGCCATTTTGGCAATGGAACATATGAATGTGGATCCTGCAAGTAAGTCGGTGAACTTTGGCCCCAAACTTTCATCTTTCCTATTCAGATTTTAATATTTGTGGAATTCATACCGTAACCCTTTGTCTCAGGTGCAATGAAGGACGTGTAGGCAGGCAGTGTGAATGCAGCAGCAACGATGTGGCCAACGAGGACATGGACCGGACCTGCCGCAAAGACAACGGCACTGACATCTGCAGCAACAATGGAGACTGTGTGTGCGGCACGTGCGAGTGCAAGAAGAGAGACAACCCCGAGGAGAGGTACAGCGGTCAGTTCTGCGAGTGCGACAATTTCAACTGTGACCGCTCCGGAAACAAGCTGTGTGGAGGTGAGCATGTCAAATACCTAGGAACAGAGTTCAGTTTTATCTAGAAAAATACTGTACATACACACCACCCAGTGGTTGTGATCCCATTTTTGACATCACAAATTTCTGGCGACCCCAGAGACATTTTCTGTTTTTAGAATTAGTTTTGTGCAGTGTTTTATTTGAACTGGATTTATATTGACAGAAATGAATTGTTTAAGATGTGTTGTTTTCTGAATTATAATTTTAATAAGAATAATTAGTTGAAAAATATTTTTTTTCCATTTTTTTTAATCAATTTGAATTTGAATTCTAATTGACCCCACAACCATGGGGTCGTGACCCCATGGTTGAAAAAAAAAACACTAAGCCCAGTAGGCCCAATAGGTACAAAGCCATGGACTTATTTCATGCTTTAATTTTGTCTTTCTTCAGGACACGGACGGTGCGACTGCCGATCGTGCGTTTGCGACCCCATGTGGACCGGAAGTGCCTGCGACTGCTCACTGGACGACAGCACGTGTATGGCCAGCAACAAGCAGATCTGTAACGGCAGGGGGACGTGTGAATGTGGCACCTGTAAGTGCACTGACCCCAAATTCCAGGGTCCCACCTGTGAAACCTGCCCCACCTGCCCAGGAGTCTGTACTGAGCACAAGTAAGTCTGGAATAAAGAAACATGTTAGTGGACACGTTCTCACACTGGTGGGCCTTTTTCAGCAGAGGCTTGAATCCTTATTTTCCTCATCATTATTGATGTTTCGTGTAAGGTTAGGCATGATAGTGTCGTGATATTTAAAAGAAAAGATTAAAAAACGTCTTTTTTTTTGACAGCCATTGAGGGTAAGAAAATTCAGTTGTAAAAGTGTGTATTTTCTTTGATATAAGTATTTATGACATGTTACTGCTCATGTTTCTGTGTTTTGTACACACTTTTATTATTATAGCCAAACCATCTGTGGTCTTACAAACTTTGCAATTTCCTCCAGGGAGTGTGTCCAGTGTCGTGCCTTTGGCACCGGTGAGAAGAAGGACACGTGCGAGCGAGACTGCAGCTACTTCAACCTGATCAAAGTCAAGGACAGAGACAAGCTGCCTCAACCCAACGACGCCTCTTATCCCGTGATGCACTGCAAGGAGAGGGATGCCAACGACTGCTGGTTCTACTACACCTACGCTGTCAACAACAACACAGAGAAGGAGGTGCACGTGGTCGACACACTGGGTGAGTGAGAAACTGGGCCCACGTGGACCAGGGTGTGGATGGTTTTAGTTACAGAGGAAATTTAAGTGATTACAGCCAGTCAACGGCGCGTTATTGCCGCTGTATTATATTTGGTAAAGTTTCTTTAAGCTGCACCTTGGTGTGTTCCAGACTGCCCTGCCGGTCCTGACATCATCCCCATCGTAGCTGGTGTAGTTGCTGGCATCGTTCTGATCGGCTTAGCTCTGCTGCTCATCTGGAAGCTGCTGATGATCATTCATGACAGGAGGGAGTTTGCCAAATTTGAGAAGGAGAAGATGAATGCCAAGTGGGATACGGTGAGTGACTACAGCAATAACCAGCTCTGTGAAAGAGGAGCCCAAGAAGTCTTTTGGATTTTAGGCAGAAGTCTGGCTGAGTTATGGAAATGTGGAAAACAGGTGTTGTTTGGCTGCAACAAAAGCCGCCTTCTGTCAGGGATTGAAGTTGTGAAGATGATTTGTTATTCCCAGAAGCACATGACATCCACAGAAACAGTGATATCATTGCAAAGTACCTCGTATGTCGATTTTACCATCACACATCTGCAGGAACAGGATTAATTGTTGGGCGATGGGAAATTGTCAAAGGTTGTCTGGACTTTTTTGGGAATGTAATGTGCTCTGAGGAAAGTTGGACTTTTCCCAAGGGGGTGGCCACAGCTCCTCCCTTCATACCTCTTCCACTCTGTGGCATCTCGACTGCAGGAGGACAGAACGCTGGAGTTACTGGTACCTTCGTGTGAAAGGATATTCCTCCACCTAGTGGTTCAACAGCGTCACGAGCGTAATGAATTTGAGAATTGAGATATTACTGCGGTAGAAACTCCAGTTGAAATCTTTCTTATTTTAACAAACAGAGCAGCAAGTTACTTTAATTTTTTTATTTTACTTTAAAATCACGCAAGAACAAAAAAAGAAAACAAAAGTTGAAAGACAAAGAACAAAACAATGAAAGTTGATATATAAACTCCATTCCGTCCTATTTTTCCTCCATACCTGTCTAACGAGTGGTTACTAGTGCACAATACGCCCAGTAGGTGGCAATAGTGCAACTCAAACGTTTCACAGGCACATTCAATGTAAAACACTTTTGGACTTGGGGAAACGACAGTGTCCTCACTTTACAATAATTACAAGAATGCAGTCCTAGGATTTCTTTTAACTTTTTTTTTTGGTCTGTGAGACAAAATATTTCATCCAGAAAGCCAATTTAGACTCGACATTTAAACTGAGTAAACAGCACCCTCTGCAGAAAAGGGAGGGGACCTACATGCTCAGTGTTTTGTGAGGGTAGTCCATCGTAAACTCATACTAGGTATTTAATCTTGAAAAATAATTTGTCTTGAATAACAACAAACTGAAAAGAAGATGAAGAAGTATTAATCTTCAATTGGAGATAATTTACCTTTAAACATAGTCTTCTCTTTGTTTCTTATTTGCTTTTTCCCTTCCTACTTTTTTCTTTTATCCTCAGTGCATTTGTACTTTTCCTACCTGGTAACCTCTTTTCTGTCCTCGTCCATCTGCCTTTAGCAAGAAAATCCCATATACAAGAGTCCTATCAATCAGTTCCAGAACCCAAGCTATGGAAGCAAAGCTGCTACTGCTCTTTGAGTTTGTATTTATTTTCCTTTCATCCTAATTTTCCTGCCTGGGCTGTTTTCTGTTGTGGTTGCTTTTTTTTTCTAGCTTTTGTTTCTCACTCTTTTTTATTCTCCGTTCTTTATTATAGTTTTTGTTACACAAAACAAATAATACTGTCTTTATGGTTTGGTACAACTGCATGAGTGTCAAGGCTCCAAGCGTGTGAATACAATCCGGTAAGTCAAATGAATAAACATGAGGCCTAACTTCTACATCTGTGTGATTTAAAAAAAAAAGGCATGACTGTGTGCTGACTGATCCTCATGGAAATTTTGACAAATGTGTTTAATTGTAACCCTGAATGGCTTGGACTAATGAGTTGTGTGTTTAAGTTGGAATATTCTTGATGTAACCAATCTCTTTCATGTTTTCTTCTCAGGGTGAAAACCCCATCTACAAAAGCGCTGTCACGACTGTGGTCAACCCCAAATATGAAGGAAAATGATGGCATTATACAGTTTTCAATGAACTCTGCTATGAAGTATTTGATACAGTATCTGAAGTATTCACTTTCTTAGTCATCGGAGAGGAACGTTTGGTTGGAGTTCACGTTAGTTCTTTCTGTCGTCCTATCAGTTTAACGCATCGTTCAGCCACTGCATCTGTATTTTTACTAACACCTATGTTTTATCTGCATTTGTTTGTATCTTGGATGTACAGTATACTGTGTGTGTATATACTTTTAAATTGCATATCTGGAAAAAAGTGGATGAAATAAGGAGTGGGGAGGTTCTGCCACAGGACTGGTATGAACAGAAGTTTAAAAAAACAAAAACAGTGACGACAATACCAAACAATTTTACAGTTCCTGTCAGTTAGCCTGTGTTTGTGTCTCCACTCATCTCTGTGCACTGATGCCCTGTGAGTCTCCGTGTGTACCGGACACAAGCTGAAGAGTGTGATGTGTAAACCTTTAATCGGTGCAGCACATTACCAGTGTGCGCGTGTGTGTGTATATATAGAAAACAACATCTAGGATAAATGTTGAAAGATATTTAGCACCAAACTCAAATCAGACAGTGTCAGAAAAACACATTTGTATATGAAATTTCAAACCACAGATGAGGAATAAGTTGCGTGTAAACGTTTGTGGTATTAGTGTCAGTTCGTGATATTTGTATTGTTGAAATCTCTCTCTCAAAGGGACTGTACACTGTACACCACTCTTTGAAATGAAATGGTTGGCGATGTGAACAATCAATGGGTTTGTAAAGTCATGCAGGTTGCAATCACAACACAATTCTTTTTTTTCACTATTTGCTAATTATTTAGTCACACTTGTGTCCTCTCTTGTGGTTACTATCATTTATACCAAAAACCTTTTAATGTCCCCATGTACCACAATTCAATGTATGTGCGTGAGGTTATCTGTTTTTTGTTTGTTTGTTTGTATGCAGACTACATAGTATTATCACAGCATGTGTTCACACATCAACACAATCAGCTCTAAATGCTTTCACACAAAAATGCCTTTAAAATACTACACATACACACCTTTATAGTATTGATTTCAAAGTGCCTTTTTTCAATACACATTTTCTCCCTGTTCTGTTTATGACTTATTTATTAAATAAAAAACACGAAAGCTTTGTGGATTGTTGTGCGCATTTATTTTTCCTCCCCTTTTTCCTTCAATTTTTTTTTTTTTATTATTATTCTGACCTTCCTGAACCCTCCATGTGTCCTTCTCAAATGGGTACTGACAAACCCATGGGGTGAATGCTGAAGGCATTTTTACACTGTGAAGAATAAAAAAAAAGTGTTTTTAGTATTCGTTTGTATTTAAACGGAACACACTTGGTACTTTTATCCACCTTTGATCAATGTTCCAATTACCTATAGAAATTATTTTTCGGAGTTCTCATTCACAGACAGCAAACCCTTGGTATGGCGCCTTAAAACTGAATATTTTCTTGAAAAGATTCACTGAATATATATATATATATATATATATATACATACATACATACATACATATATGTATATATATACATATATGTATATATATGTGTGTGTGTGTGTGTATAACTGAATCACAAACAGATAAACCTAATATGCGCTCTGTCTATCCAAAGTCTATTCATGGGTTATGACCAACCGGATGTCTCTACGAGTCATACCGGAAATAGTTGGAGTGAGTCTTCTTCCTAAAACAAACCATCTACTGCGGGGTGTAAACAAGAGCTAAAGAGAGCTAAAGTTAACTTAAGCACGTCGTTAAAAACATTGTTTTGTAGCTGTTAGACGAGAGTGTCACGACTCACAGTGAAGCGGAAATGGAGGAAGACATATTAACGACGCTGAAAATATTGATAATAGGAGAAAGTGGTGTTGGAAAGTCTAGGTAAGCTCAAGTTTATCTCCGCAGAAAATGATGGCGTGGCTCTATGCTGCTTCTGTTAGCATTAGCTAACTCCTGTTGTTAGCTCAAGAGCGTGTTTGTCATGTAAGGAAACAACATAGAAATACCAAAAGAAGACTATTTATTATTTTTTGTTAAATTAGAACACCCTAACAATTAGAATGTTAAACATTTATTAGCTTTGTAGGAATTGCACATAGCTATGTCGTCAGGTCGTTGTGATACCATCTGTGCTTACACAAAAACACATAACGACCTATTCGAGGCTGATTTAGGGATACATACTAGCTTAATACTTATCCTTTATATTAAAAATGACATTTTGCCGATGGTATTGACGGTAACTGCATACCTTTTTAGTCTTTCTCAAACCGTCAGTTTCGAAACCCAGTAGCAGACAGCCCGTTTATGTAGTTTATAATTCAAGCTAATCTTTTGTTGAAAGGTTCTATAAGGCTGTATGGCTTTTATCACTGAGCCGATTTTGCTATTAAACGCTAATCAGAATCAGACGTCCCTGTTAGCTACCACAAACCAGCCAAGGCAGAATTTTAATGTTATTTTTAAGTAACGTTTTTTCTGGCAGTTTACAATGTAGTATGTCAACAGAAAGCTTAGGGACGTCTTTTTCTATTCTCTGACTGTGGTCCAGACTGCAGGAAAGAATCCTGGTAGCCAGCCTGAGCCGTCAACCATCAAATTGAAAACTATGGTATTGTGCTCAGCAGCCTGCCCTCCAGAGTCATAGCACGGTACATAGATAATGAACTGCTGAAAGCTGATGTAAGCTCTTCCATTAGTGATTTTTTGGTTAAGAAAAAATGTTTTATTTTGATGCACATTGTTGACATGGCTTTGACTGTCTCAAATAACCTGTTACACATACCTCAAATCTTAAAGAAAAGGATTTTTGTCCATCAAGGTTATTGTAATCCTTTTATGTGATTGTTAAAAAATGTATTAGCCACAGCTCTGTCTCCAGATGTTTGTTTGGCTCCCTTTGAATCATATTCTATAGCTTTGCTGGTTTGCTTACTTTATTAACTTTAATGCCCTGTAATAAATGCAGACAAAGGATAGTGTGTTTATGTGAGCTATTAGGACATAAGTTTGCTTTTATGTTATAGCTCTATTAGACACGGTGTAATGGTGAATCAGTCAGGCTAAGACCATTGTTTCCCTAAAGCAATTCTAAAGCTTATTAAGTTGGTTACACTTTCATAAGTTAATTATTATTATAATTATTACCTGTATGAAAATATGAATCAATTTTCCTTACATCCTGATGACTCAGAAGAGAAATAGAAAGAAGTCTCCTGGTTCAAGGAAACATAGCAAGATTATGCTACTCAGCAGCACTGTGATAAAGGCATTTTGCAGGTGATTAGTCATTGTTTAGAAGTGAACCATGTCCTTCTAACTACAATCTGGCAGCAATATCATCCGGTCTGTTTATGTGTTTATGCAGGTGAAGGGCAAAGTGATCAATTGCAAGACAGACAATTAGATAAGTCTGGGGCCGCAGGACAGGCTGCATGAGCCAGGCATATGGAAAACTGATCCAAGACTGAAAGCTAGCTCACCCACTGTGAATAGAATTGAATTGCTTATGTGACTGATTAATACCAAGACTTAACAGTTTTTTTCCATCCTGTCCGCAGCCTCCTCTTACGATTCACAGATGATACATTTGACCCTGAACAGGCAGCTACAATAGGTAAGTGAAACATCTGAGCTCAGAAAAACTTAGAAAATGAGAAACTTAAATGAAAACAAGACCTGGTGTTGCAGCGACTGAAAGACAGTATAAGCATTAGTCAGTCAAAATGAGCCACAAGTTTTAGTTTAAATAAACACAAACTCAGACTCGAAGCTGTGGTTAAGCTGTTTTAAATTGTACTGACAGTTGTTTATAATGTTTTGACCATTACTTTTACAATCATGTGTTTCATCTAAAACAGGGCTCTGCAGAAGCACGAGCAAAAAGGATCTCAGTAATTAGTTCAAGAGGAGAGTATTGATGGGTAGCGTGACGGCTGAAAGGTTTGATTGAGTTGAGCTTCATTGAGACAGAACAAAAACATTGTTACTAAACAGGGTAGCAAATATTCTGTGTTCTTCTCTAATAATTGCCCGGTGTCATTCCACCCATTCCTTAGAGTAACCTGCTATGGGGTTTGGAGATGGTGGCTCTGTCAAAGAAAGAGAATATGTAGGTGGAGGTAGCTGAGGTGCAGTGTTTCACAGGGATATAAGTCTGTGTCCACTCCAGTCGAAGCAGTGTTTTCAGCCTTTTCTTAAGCATTGGCGCATTTGATTGCTTATTAGGACTGATGGGTAATGAAACAGATACAGAAATTTGAACTTAAACCAAATGGAACAAATGTGTAGAAATGGTATAAGCAATGGATAAAAAAACTAGTGAAATCTAGTCTCCCTAAACAAACAAAACTGCTTGTTAGGTGCGCCCTTAGTATTCAAAAATCAGATGCTTTAAGTAAACGTATTTTTTTCATGGTTCAATTAAAGTGGACTTTTAATCTGTCAATCCTAATAGATTTTTTCCATTGAACTGAGATGGTGTTTCTAAAACTAAAGCAGCAGTTCTATCATTTTGAATCAATAAAAAGAACTTTTGTTTTAAGGTCACACTGTAAAACCTACCGTGTTACTCTGCCAACATCGATTGTTTTGCCAAGCAAATTTCATCAATGGATTTAAATTTTCCTGGCTATCACCATTCTTTCAAGAAAAAAAACAGTCCGATATCACACCACCTTAAATGTGCATTTATCCGTCATTTTTTAGAGCAGTTAGTTAGAGGGGAATTTTTTTTCTTAGTACACTGGCCAGCACACCGTTTGCTAAGGTACGATTTAATTGATATACCGTAACATCCATTAGAGTTGCTCTAATTAGAGTCGAAGATAATAGCAAGAAAGATGGGCCAGGATATTCTCAGCAGATTGTCTGGGTGGTGTTTATCTTAGCAGACAATTGTCTGCAGAAATCACCTCTGAGATTTGTCTCCCTGCTCCCAAATCTAATCTCTGAATAATATCTGAATGAGCTCATGTGAGATCACAGCATTAGAAAGTCTGGATAAACTACAGTGAGTGAACAAGTCAGTGTGCCGCTGCCTGAACGCCTAAGCCTTGCACCATTCCCTGACCTGGATCCTCCAGAGATTTGTTCAAGCTTTTGTGAAGGTGAACTCCAGTGAATGCCAGACCAAATTCTCTGGAAATGATCTGGAACTTGTGTCTTAAAATGGATTTCATTTCTTCTGGGTGCTTTTACTACAACAATTAAAAAGCAGACCTGGGTGAAGCTGACTCACCCTCTCCTGACAACAGTGCCTATTGTTCAGACAGGACATGCCGTGATGCTGTAGTGTATTAACGTGACTCAACGAAGGACTGTTTTCGGGCTGCGCCATGAACAGCTTAGCCTGCAGGGATCAGCGCAATCATCACTTTAAGTGGTTGTGGCATTTTGTTGTATTGTGAAATTATAAACAGATGCTTCAACATGTGCTGTTTAGGGGGAAGGCCTCTGTGAATTTGTTGTAAATTAAATCGGGACATATACTGATCCAGGTTCATGAAGTCCAGCACATTCGTCTAGCAACAGTGTCAAAGCAGCAGTGCTGTACTAGAGAGAGTGGAAGTTGTTGTGATGGACTGTGTAACAGACTGTATTTTTGTGTGTGAGGTAAATATTCATTGTCATATATTCTCGCTGGTGTCCATGTCCCTTATTTGGCTCCTATCTGAACTCTCTCCTCACTGCCAGATGTGAGAGCAGGCTCATCACAAGCGTACATTTCTCGCTAAATCTGTCACTGGATTCTAAAACATTGGGCAGTTCATCATCCAGAAACTGCACGCTCCATACACTAAGATACTGGACAAAGGCAACGGAGGAGATTTACTTATGTGGGGAAATGGGGACGGCATTGTTATTTTCATGTAAATGTCCCTTCCTCTGGGACTTGGCAGAGATTTCACTGTTGACTCATTACTGTCTGAACCATTTCACAGGTGGTGGATTGTATTTATTTATTTATTTTAGCACAGCCTTGCACTGACTTCCTTTCAGGACTGTTAACCCACATCATATTTTTTGGGGTTTTATGAATACACAGACATGCAATAATTTAAATACAGAACATGGGATTGGCCCATTGCCAGTCTGAGAATCTGTGGGGTTAACGCAAGTTCAGCGAAGTTCAAATTGTGTGCTCTGTGTGTTTTGACAATTCATCATTGGTAATCGCAGTCTGTCGCCATTCTAATATTCTTGGCAGTAATTGGTCAAACCTGTAAAACTCATCATATTGCTGTTGAGGAAGGATGTGGTAATCATGGAGTTATGTGTGATTGACTGTCTTTTCATTGTCCAGGTGTTGACTTTAAAGTGAAGACCATTTCTGTAGATGGAAACAAAGCAAAGTTGGCTATCTGGGTAAGTAACCATCTCGGTGGTGGGAGCCCTGTTTCAACACTGGTAAACATGTGACCTTTATATTTTTCTTAGCGCTCATAGATTTGTCACTCTTGTGCCAAAAAAGGTTGGGCAATTCCGCTAATTCGCCACAAGATGGCGCTTTTGTAACATCATGTCAGGTTCATTGTTTATGTGGATCTGCTCTGGTTTTTCAGCCACCTGCTTTTGTCTGTGTGTGTTGGTCAGTATGATTGAACTGATTGTTTTTTTGTCACAGGACACTGCTGGACAGGAGCGTTTTCGGACCCTGACACCTAGTTACTACCGCGGTGCCCAGGGAGTCATCTTGGGTAAGCTTTACCATTTACACTGTCCTCACATGTGTGTGTGCTCATCTCTATGTAGTGGGTGTTGTGGGTTTCTGCCCACGTCACTTCACAGTCAGAACACTGCTTGAAAAGACAGTGATGGCTTTTCATCCTGTGACCTGCACACACGCACGCTCTCTCTCTTACTCTCTCTCTCTCTCTCTCCCCTTCTATCTCTCTCTCTCTCTCCCTCTGGAAGTTAGTTTATAACCTCCTTGCATGGACATGCATGTACTGCATGAATATGCACACACAGGAACTTAGTTAAACCTTTAAAACAGACTTCCTCTGCTGCCTGTGGGTTTTTTTGCGACCATGGTACTGACGTATATTGAAACAGAATGTGCAACGCTATAGATCTGGGATCGTAAAAATGCTCGATGTGGTTCTGTGATGAAAAAGATCTTTTGGTTTAAAGTAAACATTTCGTTATTACATATTCATTTCCAAAACATCCTGCGCATGATGTTAAAAATGTAATCTGTAGTGTTTTTTTAAAACACTAACTAAAGACTAACTAAACCGTTGTTTAACATAAACAAATTCAGTAAGTACACCTTACATTCTCAGAGTTATCTCCATCTTACTAGTAAAAGATAAAGAGTAAAAGAGTATCAGTATCTATCATAGGGTATAAAAGAAGCTTTCTGTTGTTGCAGGCAAAGTTGTGGCCGAACAACTTGTTCTCAACTTTGCAGGAGAAATGTCTGCCAATTTAGGACTATTTTAAATTGGCAGACTATTTTTTAACTCTATTGCACTGTTTCTCAGCACAGAAAAGTGAAGAGTTTTTGACCTGCCACAACCTACAGTTAGTAACTTTGTGAAAAGTTTAAGAATCGTGAATAACAGGCACTCGGGCAGATACCACTGGGCTGGCCTATATTTAAATTTTACACCGCCATATGCTCCATTCAAGACAATGTCTTTTCTCAGGAATTCTTTGGATTTTCCAGCCAGACCCCATTCTGTGCAAATTACAAAAGTGTGGCTTGCTAAACATAGTGTGCGTCTGCTTGACTGGCTCGAGCTGACAGCCCAGATTTGTTTCCCATTGAAAATGTCTGGCACATCATGAAGCGGAGAATCGCAGTGTCCAGAGGCTGACGAGCAGCCCCAGTCACTTATGCATCAAAGATGGACAAAAGTTCCACCTGAGTTGACTGATTTCTCAAGTTATTCAAGCTCATCCAAGTGCTAAACTCCCCCGTGGTGTTATTTATAGATGCACACTAGTCAGATTTTAGTTTCATTTTTACTATTAGATCGCCTTTTTCTGAGAGGGATGGTTAAAAATGAAAGGTATAAGAGTACCAAATGTTATATACTGTAAAATACAAACAGTACATATAATTCATAAAGATAGTGTTACTAGCATGATTATTGTTCACCATAAATTGGTGTGTTTATGAATTTGAACAAAGACCATTGGTGTGAAAGTGTGTGTGAACAGTTGGTTGTCTCAATACATGTCCCCACAGTGGACTAGTGAGCTTTCAGGGTCTGTCTGCTGGGATTGACTTTGTCCATTTTTCTCTGAAGAGTTCAGAGAGAAAGATAAAGTTGTAATTATCAGTTTTACTGTGAATGCTGAGTCATTCATGGTCATGTTGCTCAGTTACTGTACACTTCCTGTTGTCGATGACGGGTTCTGACCAGAGCTCACGTTGGTTTACTGATTTTTCTGCAGTGTATGATGTCACACGGCGAGAAACCTTTACCAAGCTTGATAACTGGCTCAATGAACTTGAGACGTACTGTACAAGGAATGACCTCGTGAAGATGCTTGTTGGAAACAAAATTGATAAGGTGAGTGGATTTGTGTGTGGATAAATGTGCTTTACTGTGTCCTCTGGATCAGCCAAGGTTGTTCAGATAAAAAGAATTACGCTCAACTAATCAGTAATTTTGATTTTTCTACAATGCCATTTTGCTTTTTTTGATAAAACTAAAAAAGTTGATATCTCTGTATCTTGGTATTTAAGAATAATATGCACATATAAGAAAAAGGAATGGTCAATATAAAGTGTAATTTCTATATATAATCCAAAATAGTGATATACATTACTAAAGAGCAGTGTTTTCAACTTCGGGGTTGCAACACAATATGTGGAATTAAAATAGGGTCACCTGAAATGTCCAGTAATTGATAAAACATTACTAAATATTTTTTCAGCTAATTATTAATCTTTTTAAAGTTATGATTTAAACAGTCTTAAACATTTTTATTTAACTTTATCATGAATATAAAAATAAAAAATACAATCAAGCAAAACAAACGTGATCAAAAACTAATTCTAGAATAAAAAATGTCTCTGTGGTCACCAGAAATTTGTGATGTCACTATGGGGTCCCAAGCCAAAAAAAAGGTTGGGAACCTCTGTCTTAAAGTGTCGTCTTACAGCTGTTTGACAAATGACAAAACTAAATGAGCATGGCTGCCCCACACTGATTTTTCTGGCAGCTGCTCCTTGAACCAGGATGAAGAATACCCACGGAGTAGCACATTATGAGTGTATTGTGTCCTGTTCTTTGTCTGTGAAAATCACTTTTCCCCTCTCCACTCTCAAAACCACACTGCTCTGCCCGACAGACCTCAAATAAGTCATTACCTCTCCTTTGTTTTAGGAAAACCATGAGATGGACAGGGCCGAAGGGCTGAAGTTTGCAAGGAAACATTCCATGCTTTTTATAGGTAAGTCGGAAGGATTCCCTCCTCTGTAGAGTCCTGTGGGGCCTCAGCTGCTGTAGACAGCACCACAAGGGAAGCAGCTCCCAGTCTTGTCGAGGAATGCTAGCATAGTTCTATTTATAAAGCAGGATTCATGGCTGATCTTCCATGTGTTCTTGTGTTTTTCTCCGTGTGCTTTTATTTTCCACATATGTCTCTGAAGGACTGGTCCTTGAGCAGAAATGACTGGGACGTTTATGTCTAATCACATGTTTTTACCTCCATCAATGCAGCACAGTATAATGAAAAGTTGAAATGGGTTTTTTTTTGCAGTATTTTCATATGTAATTGTTTGTGAAATACTCTCATAAATTAGCTTTATTTCTCTATTCTGTAGTTATTACGGTAGTGTTTCTGGACTTTGTCATAATTCGGAGGATTGTTTGGACTAAAGAGGTTATTATTAAGATGTTTTCCACAACTAGATGATAGCATCAAGATGCAAGGCAGTGAAAGTTCATGTATCTGTTTTTCGTCTTCATTTCCATCATTTTGCGCCACATTTCTACCGCTGTTTTTTCTTTTGTTTTTTTTTTTATAACTCGTTCCACTCGTTTACGTCTGTCTTCTCCAATGTTCCCTTCGTGCTCCGCCTCCAGAGGCCAGTGCGAAGACCAGAGACGGCGTCCAGTGCGCGTTTGAGGAGCTGGTGGAGAAGATCATCCAGACTCCTGGTTTATGGCAGAGTGAGAGCCATGGCCGAGGCGTCCAGCTCACTGACGAGGATGCGGGCAACGGAAGTTGCGGCGGCTACTGCTCCCTGGTCTAGACAACACGGCCGCGTTCAGATGTACACCCGTGAATACAACACCCACAAGAAAAAACACAAATACACACACACACTTGAAAGAACACTCCTCTTCCTACTGTGTGCTTCCCTGAGTGAGCTGACATGATAACAGCTAAAGGGTTTAACCGTCCACACGCACTACCGGTGTCCGTGCCGACACTCTCACGCTTTTTAATAACAATGCTGCCCTGAAGTATTACTTTCAGATAAGCCTTCGTTTCATTTGAATTTGCATCGTCTCTCCTCTTGTTTTACTTTTTTTTTTTTTTTTTCTTTTTTTTTTTTTTTTTGCTTCTTTTTTGCTCCCCTCTTTCCTCTGTCCTAACAGACTGGTTATATTAAAGCAATATGAACCAGATTCTTACATTAGTGGTTAAAGAGGGAGTATATGGGGATTCCAAAATCATTTGAGAAAGCTTCTGTTCTCATTTTCAGCATGCATTTTGTGCTCCTCGCCTCAACTTGCACGTGTTCCAGTGCAGGGCTGGCTCCCCTCTTTCCTCTGTCCTGTCCCGTCCCATGCTTGATCCTCTTCCTTGGAACAGACTTTATGAATTTTATGCTGCTTATGGAGAAGCTCATCAAGCTGACCTATCTAGTATTCTATCTCACCTCTCAGCCAGTCAGAGGCTCAGATCATTCTCTGTTGCCCACACGACTGCCTCATTTCTGATGAATATAATCCAGTTAGCAAGTGTTTGGAATGACTTTATTTTGGTTTTATTGACTCTGACTTCAAACCACTGGTGTGTTCTTAATGGGTGCAAAAATTGAAGAAAAAAAAAAAAAAGATTGGCACCGGAGAGCTTTCCACTGGTCGCACAAAAAGACAGAGCCTCTTAGTTGCACAGGTTTTTTGTAATGAGTTGCTTTAATGGAGGGGAACCAACTTGTTTCCCCATCACTCAGACAGATAACATCAGTAATACCATGGGCACTGCGACAGTCTTTGATATGGATTTCTGCTTTGACTGTACGGCAATGATGGAAAAGTGTTCAATATTAAACAGGGCAGAGAATTGTGAGGGTGTTTCCAGGAAAATTTATATTTAAAAAAAAATCTCTTTTTGCTGCACATTGCTAATGGGTTTCACAGTACTTCTATCTCTCCAGTTATTGGAAAAAAAGCAGTTATAAATGTACTGTACCCCTGACCTCTGATTATGTTAGTAATATTTGAGTGCTGGTATCGGGTCTGGGAAATGTGTGTGTGAGTGATGCTTTACCAGGGCTGGCAGAAAACAAGTATTTCTTATCGCAGGTTGGAATTTGTTTTTATCTTTTAAATTGCATGGGCAATTCTCTGTGCCATTCCTTTTTTTTTTCTTTTGTTTGTTTGTCCGTGGAATGACCTACAGAGGTCGTTAGCTATAACTCTTTTAACTTATATTTAGCTTAAAATGAATATTCATACTTATGTACCAATAGGAAGATCATGGTACAGTGAGGTAAGATATAAGAAGTGGGCTTTTAAACTACTAAAGCGCTCTCTCTCTTTCTCTCTCTCGTGTTAAAACATGTAAAGATGTACATTGTGTGTATTTTAGGACAAAGGTGGGATTATACCTATATGAAATGTAAAATTGGAATCTTTGCCTATTTCACTTCAAACTGCCCCATGTATTAAACTGAATAAACTCATTTTTTTAATTCAGCATGTACCTTTTATTTTTAATCCCATAGATGTGTGCGTGCTAAAGAGCTGCTGTGACAACCAATCTTTTCAGGTAACAGCTTTAATGTCTACGTTTTTATTACATATTTTCCACCAATAACTCTGTTGCCATGTTGGAAATGTCACTGTTAGGTGAGGGGTCTTTCATTCAGTGCCCTTTGCATTCCACTGTTCTCAGAAGAAAGACTTATGTTTGAACAGTGTCCGAGGAACCACTGTACCCCAGACGTGTGATCTGTCTAAATCATCTTTCTGGCAGACGCCTCAGGAAACCCAACCGCAGCCATAAGTCACTCTACCAGTGCTTTAACCGGGATGTGCATAATTCCTGCGTGATTATGAAAGGGTCCGACCTGGCAGCCAGAGCGAGGACTCTTCCCTTGTAGTGTATCCCTAATCTCCTGCCACAGTCCGGGCAGCCGTCTGGAAATATGTCTCAGTCAAACAATATTGCCTTCATGTGGTCGGGCCTTGTGCTGAGCTTTAGCGCTGCTGTTTCCTCGTGCGTACCCTGGAAAAACAGCAGGTACTCAACTGGGCTGAGAGTTGTTGTGTTTTGGCGTTGTTGATTCACATTCACTTTTATTAGTCACATCATGAGAAGCAGCCTCGTTTGCCAAGAGATCTCTGGTTAGTCAGACCTCACTGCTTCTGGTTCTGGATCTCTGGTTAGTCAGACCTCACTGCTGGGTGTTTAGAGCATACTTTATTTAGAGAATATCACCTAAGTGTTACTTTGAGGATAGAGTGTTTAAAAATTCAATATATATAATTTGTCTCTGTGAATCGGTAAAGGGCAGAATAACTAAATATACATCCATTAGGTGCAGCAGATGGCTATAAAAGAATTTGTTTGGTCTGGTCTATACACCCCGACACATTTTTCGACTTCTATCTTTATGCCACACATATATCTAGTGCACTTTTTGCCAAACTGGGAATCCAGCAAAAAATATTTGGTGTGTTTTCAACTAAAACATTCAATTTGTGATATCAACAGTGACATTAATGCATTTCCTGTTTTTGCTGTAAAAACATAGCATTTTCAGTAACACCATAAAGAAACAACCCCCCCCCCCCCCCCATGTGTCAACCACTACATTCACTGAATCTTTTTGCAAATTTACAGCTTACATCATGTAGCACACTCTACGCTGAGAAACACTGGCCTTCAAAATACAACACTGATTACCAATTTGTCTCACACCTGTGCAAACACTTGAGTCGTGCGTCAGAATATGAACGAGGCCCCAAGCGACTTATAAATGTATTCAGCGTGTTACTCTGTGTATCTGCGCGCTGATATGTTTTGTTACCTTTTTTTTTAAGAACAATTTAAATATAAACATGATGTTGTGCAAAAACCCTTAAAAACTTCTGTGTTTTGAAAATATCACATACTGATAATATTTGGAAATTGTTTTGCACTCGATGCTGACAGCATGCCTTGAGAATAATAGGAAAATAGCAACTAGGAAAGAATGTGAAAATGCTAAAAGAAAACACATTGTGCATCTACTGTATGAAAAAAGTTCTTGAAGGTCAGCTTCATTCCTCAGATAGGTAGAGGTTTATTGCTATTATTCATTTTGAAGACAGACAGGACCGTAGATATTGTCTGTACGTCCATCGTGCATAGATCCAAAAAATTCCCTTTCTTGGTTTCAGGTTAATTTTTAAATAAATTGATGTATTTAGGAAAGTGACCTGTAGAGGGCACATATTATGCAAAATGGAATTTTGTCAGCAGTTTGATCCACATAAAATATTACAAATTTAAATAATGCAAATAAAAAAACTGCTGCCCCATTAAGACCACGCCCCCCACTTGTGGGTCCACTGGCATACACTAGGTTACCGCACATGCACCTGTCATATTCTGACGTTTGACTGAAAACCGTATCTTTCTCATTCTTCAACCGTTGCCAAAATTACACAAAGCTTCCCTAGGTGTTTCCCCAGTGGAAAAGGTTCACTACCAAGTCAACAGTGGTTTTTTTCCTGAAATATTAAAATAGAACAAAGACGATTATGAACTGTTGAGCCTGAAATATATTAGTGTGAAAGAATAGTGTTCAATGTTCGTGTTTATCATGAGTGCGTTTTGCAGCCAGAGGGAACTTTTCGCTAATTTTGAATCTGTACATAAGATTAAGATTAGGTTTAAGTGTGTTTTGTTACGGGTTTAAACCCACTACTATGGGGGTAAGGAGTAAATTATTCACCCGTTATACACTTGTAGATCAGTGGTTAGTTAATAGTGCTAGGTTAATGGTTCTCAAACTATGGTGCGTGTAACACAAGTAGTACTTGGGCTACTGCCCTGGAATGCAAAATTAGCCAATAAAAAGACCAGTTAAATTATTGAACTTTTCCTATACGGTATGAGGTGAACTGGGGAAGTGTAAGCTGGCCATGCTTGAGCTAAGTAAGAGAGCTAAATATTTCAGTGTAAAAAGTTTCACGACCACAACACATTGGTATTGAGCAGTTATGGACATGGAGAACAACACTTTTTAGTAATATGACAAACTCTTCATAGAGGGGGGTGGGGGAATTGTATAGACTTGTTTTTTTCCTGCTGTCTATATGTGAGCAAATAGCCAGGAGCTAACCTAACAGAACAGATCTGGCTCTCATTAACCCAAATCTTTCCTCCGTCTCCGTCCTCTGCCTGTTGACGCGGCAGGCTGTATGGATTAGCGCTCAGATGAGCCTCTCTGGAGAGCTGTCATGTGTAAAAATGTTATGGGACTGTGGGCATGGTTTCATAAGGTGTTAAATTCCCAAATGTCACTCATTTTGTCAGGCTCATTGTCCACTGGCTATCAGGTAATTGTTTTGCCATACTAAGGTATAAAAGCAAGCAGTTGAATTGTGCATTGTAGTCAGGAACTAAACTGTTTTCCATGAGGTCGACTGCACGGTTCACCGAGGCGTTGTTGGAGTTCACCTTAACATCAGTTCCAGGCTGTCAGGTGCTGGGGTTATCTTTTTGTCATCAACAAGAACAAAGAATATTTTCTCTTGTGCTGGGCAAAATGGCTTTTAGGCACCTGTAGGCCCACTGCACACTGTTGACTGTTTACAATTTGAAGTGAGGTAGAGGAAAATGTTTCAGTGTCTCTGCTCTTTCCTTTCTTAGAATCAGCCAAAGTCAAGCTCTGGCCTCTCTAAGGTTACCTTCTGAGCTCCAGAGGACCCTGAGGTAATGACCGGAATGCCCAGAACTGATGGCTCTGTCACTGCAGGTGGAAACACTTTGATTATGTGAGAACTCATGTTTACATTATGGCACCCGTTTGCATTTAGACCCTATGACATTTCATCAAGCGAAGGTAGCATCCTGTTTCAGGCCTCTAATCTGTTTTGAGCAGTGTGACCTGTGGTATGCCTCAACTGTCTGACTCTCTGAATTAGAATAGTGTTTGTGGGTTGATTTAAACAAACACAGTGCCTAACAACACAAATTTAAAACAATTTTAAAGAATAATTCTTTGTTAAATTGTTTTGTTTTTTTTTATAAAGATTTTGTTGATCAGTTTAGAGCTGTGGTTCCCAAAGTGTGCGGCAGTCCTCCTAGTGACCATGGAGCTATCGCAGAGACATCAAGGTAAATGAAACATTTTCTGTAGGTTTTCATTTAATTAAAATGTTCAAGTATATTAATAGTTATGGTATTAATATCCTTAGATCACAATACAGCAAGACAAATGGATTTCAATTTTAAGTGAGCAATTAATTTAATGTATGTTGTTTGACCGTAGGTGAAAACCGGAGAAAACCCACGCTCCGTCCAGACAGACTGCAAGTTACCACTTAGGATCGAATCAGTGACTCCTTCCTGTGAGGCAAGTTTTAACCACTTGGTCAGTGTGTGGCCACCTGCTGTCTTGTTCATGCTAACATAAAGGACTATATTAAGCAGGTTACTATGCATCAAGTATGATTTAACAATCTACTTTAATAAATATGTCAAAATAGATTTCACACACATATTACATGATCACGAATGTTTGGCTTTAAAATACTGTACACATGGGGACTGCAGAAATTTATGTTAGCTTTGCAGGACAGCGGCTTCCAGTGCTTTTTGTTCAAACCTTTATGTCCCAACCTCAGAGAGAAGTTAAAATATGTCCAAGAGCTAATAAGATACTAATTCTCAAAGGGATTGTTTAATGTGTTCGTGTGCACGCAAAAGTATTAGCTACAGCCAACAACCGGTGATTCCGTGTTCAACATTCCTCCTCGTAGCTCAGGGAGCTACATGAATTGACACGCTTTTAAATGTGCAGCGTAAAAACAATTTCGGGAAGAATTCCTATCAAGAACTGCTATGTATTCTGTCGACACAGAGGTGCAGCCACATCCTCAGGAGCAGCAGGCCTGTGTTTGTACCCATCAATCACACTGGGCCTCCTCTAACTTAATAAGAACAGACAGGAAACCTCTGCACTTGTTTGGTGTGAACCTCTGGCACTGAGTCCATGTAAGTCAAATCACCTATAACAGGGGCTGTAATTGAGTTTCAACATATTTGATATTCTGTCAATCTAATTTAAACCTAAATGATTGTACTGTAACACACACTTGTTATTATCGGAAACACGGCAGCCTGCGCGCAGACCTTAAGCAGATCAGGGGACGCGGACTCCTCACCCTGGAAGAGAAAATTCCTGTCACCGCAGGGGTTGCTTTCATCCCAGCCTCGGGTTACTGTAGCAATAAGCAGAAAGGCCTCAGAACAGACAGGCGGCGGCTGCCTGTAGAAACAAAATGGAAGGATGAGTAATTTCGTTCATCACACCACCTACCTTAATTCCCTGCGTTCGTGGTGCCACTGTCCCTTGTGGTGCAGCCCTGACCACACACCGCCTGTCTCGTATTTCAGGCCCTTGTCGTCATTCAGCGTATCACAACGCCCGTCAGGATCTCACTCGAGCTACTGCTACATCATGGAAGCAAATACGCATATACCCAGGCCATTGGCTTCCATAATAAACTAATCACTTTGTATCAACATGGGCTGGGTGTAGGTTTTCCACATGCCTCAGAGCTTTTCATGGAGTAGCCCCATGCTCCTGCTGCAGCGCTGTGCTGTCAACAAAAAAAAAAAAGAAAGAAAAAAAATCCCCGTTAATAAACTTCTTTTTGGGTGAGATGATTGGCATGTATAGAAACAAATTCATTATTTTGTTTAAACAATCAGGCCTCCGTGTTGTAATTGCACTGCTTATTTTTCTTTGAGAAGCTGATTTCAATTTTGGAGTTGTACCAGAGAATTTGTTGTAAACTACTGAGACCGAAAGACTTACAGTTTCTTTGCCTTTGATGAAAAGAGGAGGTCTGGAAGGCCTTGGAAGCAGACCTCATCCCAGTGAAGTTTAGAGTCAGGGATCAGAGGTTGACATTTTCCTCAGGGACTTGGTGGGGTCTTGCAGCTGTAGGCTGTAATAAGGTTAACCCTTATTACACATTCACATCACTGTTTTGTGGACATTTTCCCTCCTTTGGGTTTGGATGTAACTTGAGTTAAGGTCTATTACTTCAAACTACAGGAAACTCAGTCTCTCGTCTCGTATAGAAGACAATTGAATTTGAAAACATGGAGTCCACCTGTATCTCTCCCACCCTCCCATGAACAAGCATAAGTCAAATAAAGTTCTCTCCAAGGTCTTACCCAGGTCGTACAAACACGATATACTTTACGAGTTCAGGTCTTTTATTCTCTTCCAGCGCTGTTTGTCCATCGTCCACTTTATCCTAGAGTTTCCTTTTAATCAGATTTTCTAGAGAAACAAAGATGTGACAAGTGTTTTGCAACCCACATGTCCTGCAAGACTCATTTAGCGGAGTTCAACCACAGGTGCCTGTGTCTGTTTAATGGCATTAACTCCAAACTCTGGTTACACTCGGCTTCTCAATGTAAAAATAAACAGAAATCAATTGCACTCACAAGGGTGAGTCAAAAAGTGAAAACAACTGAACTATTTTTCTGAATATTATCAAGAGTATTTTTATTGAAGAATTTTAACGTTGTAGAACTCTGAGGGGCATCTTTTGCTCCATGTCACAAACCTGACTAGTTGTCTTGTCTAAGTATCCATCCATCCATTTTCATCCGCTTATCGGGTCGCGGGGGCAGCAGTCGCCACCCAAATCACATTGCACCGTACCAACCCCCCAAACCTTCCTGCGGGTGGTGAGTCCACTGCATTTTTCCAAAAAAGTCACATTATATATGGATACATCA